GTCTTCTAGTGGAGATGAGAACTTGGAAAATTTGTGGTTAAATGTAAAAAATAGAAGACGGTTGAGAAGGCAAAATCAGCTGGAGCGAATGAGGAGAGCGAGTCAGTAAATTAGCACGTTGCCTCAATGAGTATAAAAGGACACAGCTGGGCTGGTACATTTTGCCAGGAACAAAATGACTATTTGAGTGAGGACGTTACAGCAAGAAGCTCTGAGACTGGAGATTTATTGCCAGGACTAGTTTGCCGGACAGAGTAAAGATTTATGCTGTGGTTTCTGCCAGCCGTTATCTTGTAAGACTTCTTTCTGTTTGATTTAATTGTGAAACGGCTGCTTTCTGTTTTGTTCGTTTGAATTTTGAAGGGGAGTCATAACAATTTGCTGTGTTCATGGTTTCCCCCAAGGATACTCTACTCATTCCTGCATCTACTAGCAGTGAGTCTTTCATGGTTTGCAATACTCCATTCCGTCTTTCAGCCACTCATTTTCTGCTGGCGAGTACAGATTCGTACATCTATGCCTTATGCCTAAATTCCTCAACCATCTTTGGAAACCATCAGACATGAACTCTGTTCCCCTGTCTGTCTGCAACTGGCATACTTTACAGCCATACCTGTGCTCTACAAGTCTTAGCCATTGCTTGAATTGTTGCAATACCTCTGTCTTGCTTTTTAGCAGATAACAAAACCCATATCTTGTGTAGTCATCCACTATGACTAAGTCATAGTTAGCTCCAGGAGTGGGATGCTACCGGTTTGGCCCAGTTCTATAGAACCTGTAGCTGCGAAGAGTAGCTGACACTGAACCAGTTCAGTGTTTGGCCCACCCGCCTGCCTGGGCTCTAGGCTGTTTTTTATTCCCTGCTTTTCCCTCTTCAGCTGCTTTGCGCAGCACAGCTGAGGTTGAAAAAGCAGGAAACGAGCGCAGCACTTGTCAGCTCTCCAGGTCGCACAGCTGATGATTTCTTTCAAACGCTGCACACACGATTGTCCCCAGTTCGGAGAACTGGCAAATCGCTCCACTGGCTGGCCCCTCCCCGCCCACTCACTCTTTACTTGGCATGTGAGCCATCCAAGTTGCCTGATTTAGTAAGTTGTTATTTTTCCTTTTTTCCCCCCCAGACCATCAGCTGTTCTGCTCTGCCAGGAAATTTATCCAAGGATTTCCTGCTTTCTAGCTAATCTAAAAGCAGAGCCGAACCTTCCTTAGGACTGAAGCTTTTCAGTGCAGACTCAGGTAGCCGATTGCAGATAGATAGATCTCTAAGTGAATCTGTGATTCTGTGAGCAACTCAATCTGCCTGCCTGCTTTGCCTGCTTTGGGGTAAAAGTTGCTCTTTTTTAATAAAAAAATCAATATTTACATCAATATTTATAATATTTACATACAAGCCATGCCCACCCAGTCACATGACCACCAAGCCACACCCACAAATTAGGCCCACCCACAGAACCAGTTGTTAAGAAATTTGAATCCCACCCTTGCACATTTCCCACGCTTTTCCTGGCTATAAAATTAAAATGTAGAGGTATTCACCTTCTTTCCAAGCAGCCTTTGAGCTCTACACTCAAAACCCTTTTAAAATCTTTGTTCCACATGGCCAAGGTCCAGGACAACTCACCCACAGACTCAATGGGTCTCTTCCAGCAAGGGTCTGCTCACCTGGACCAGGTCCACTGATCAGGTTAACTTGGAGTCCCATCTGCTTGGGTGCCAAATTGTTGGAAGAAATATCCTTCTGGGTTCATTTCCAAGTGGGGAAAAAGACACTGGATTCATGGAAGTTGCTTGGAAAGACGGTTTATCTCAGCCAGTCCTTGAGTATTGAAGATCTGTCTTTAAATGAAACCAAACTCCAGCTCCTTTTTAGGACATTGATGGTTTATTCAATATAGCATCAAACAACAAATACCCTAATCAGGCAAGAATGGCTAAAAGCCAGGAAAGGTTAGAGTTGGGTTTGAGTTTGCTCCCTTTCCTTTTATCACCATTATCATGAGACACACCCCACCACACCCAGGCCTATACACAGGTCTAATTCTGGCCACGCCTAACCCATTATCCCTAAATGCTATTAACCCTATAACATGTCTACATCCCTACCCTATTCTGACCCTCACTAACTGATCCCCACCTGGTGCCACCTTCATGTTTTAATCAGTCCTAATTACCACCTATATGTGCCCCAACCCCCTTTAACAATATGCACCACATCAATAAAGAGCCAGTTCCAGCAGCCCCGCAGTTGTTGCAGAATCCATCCTCAGCTCTGCTGAGTCATTCTAAAGCCATCTGCCAGCACACAAGCAGAAATACAGATCCGGCAGCAGCAGAGATAAGGTGACATGGCCAGCTGACTTGCTGCGAGGCATATTCGGAGCTGACGGGCTCTGGGTGAACTCGGAGCCTGACAGGCGGCCCCCTCTACCAGAGATCTGCCTGTAAAACAATAAAAAGGGAATAATTATCACCATAGTGGTTCACGTCCCCCCCTTGGGTTTCCCAGGGTACTGTTTATGGAAACTCCATTGACGACGTGGTGCTTTAACATCGATGTGGCCAACCCATGATGCCTCACCTAAAGGATATCCCTTCCATTTTACTAAATATTGTAGACCTCCTCTATATATCTGTGAATCGAGAATAGTCTCTATCTCATAGTGATCTGCCTTCACTGGACCAGGTAACTGATCATTGGGATTACGTCTTCCGGGTTTAGTGAGACTAATATGGAATATTGGGTGGACCTTTTTGAACCGTGGTGGTAAGTTCAACTGTACCGTAACAGGATTAATCACCCGACTTATGGTAAAAGGTCCTACTTTTTACATGGGACACCCAACTTCAGATATTTGGTGGACAAATATACTAAATCTCCCATTTGAAACGGTGGGTGATCACTCCGTTTTTTTTTTTTAAAAAAAAAATTTTTAAACAAACATGCACATACAAAACATAAAAACATCAAACCATCATCTTCCATTTTATATACATACAGTGTGTCAGTTGGTTACAAATCTTTTGTGCTATTCTTTTGTAGTAATTTACTCACAATTTGTATCAATTTTCACATTGTTGAACTAACATATGCTTGTATATTTATCAGTTATTAATCATCCTTGACTAAACTATTCATTCTATCATTTTATATGAGATGTTCCAAGTTTTATCTTAAAATTTATGTTATATTTTCAACCAATGGTTATATATGTCTATATTATGTCTTATATCAATCTATTAAATTTCTATCACAAAATTATCTAGTCTATTACATTGCCATATCTTTTTGTCCAACCATTGATAAAACAAATCCCATATCATATAAAATTGTTTATCTTCTTGTTCTCTAATTTCAAATGTCAGTTTACTCATTTCAGCACAGTCCATAATTTTCTTAATAACTTCCTCCTGCACACGTATTTTATCATTTTTCCAATTCTTAGCAAATACAATCCTAGCCGCTGTTAGTACATTTACAATCAAATATTTCAACTCTTTGTTGTATATTTCTGGTATAATTCCCAATAAAAAGATCTCTGGTTTAAAGTCTATATGTTGTTTTATCATTTTTTCCAATATTTCTTTGCGTCCGAGCATGTCCACCACATATGGTAATATGAACCAGGCAGCTGAAGACACTTTCAACATTTATCCGATTTATTCTTAAACATTCTTGCAAGTCTCGTCAGGGGTAAGTGCCACCTGTAAAACATCTTATACAAATTTTCTTTATATGCAGTTGACATTGTCATTTTATAATTTTGAGACCACAATTTTTGCCATTTTTCTAAATCAATCCCATATCCAAACTTTTTCCCCCAAGCAATCATCGTTTCTTTAACTTGTTCCTCCTCCAATTTAAATTCTAATAAGTGTCCATAAAGTTTTTTAATTACCTTTTCATCAGTACCCATCAAAATCTTATCTAAGTCAATCAACTTATCATAAATACCTTCTGCTTTAACATCTTTGTCAAATCTAGATTGTATTTGCAAATATGAAAACCAATTCATTTTTACACCTTGTTCTTCTAACACTTGCATAGATTTAAGTTCACCCTTTTCATTCAATATCTCACCATATCTAACTGTTTGTTCCTTTTTATATATTATTGGATAAGAAAAAGCTTCAATGGTAGATATCCATAGTGGAATTTTTAAATCATATTGTCTTTTTATCTTCTCCCAATTCAAAAACAATGCCTCTCGAATATAATGTCTTCTAAAATACCCCTGTGTTTTAGTTCCCTTGTACCAAAGGAAGGCATGCCATCCCAACAGCAAGTCATGCCCTTCTAAGGTCAATATTCTATTGTTCCTTAATGTTATCAGTTCCTTTACGCACATCAAATTTGTTGCCTGGTAATATAACTCCCAGTTAGGCAAGGCAAACCCTCCTCTTATTCTTGCATCTTGTAACAATTTTAATTTTATTCCTGCTTTTTTGCCCTGCAAAATATATTTCAACACAATTCTATTTAAATCTTCAAAAAACTCCTTCCCTTGTCGGATTGGAATTGTCTGGAATAAATATAAAATTCTAGGCAATACATTCATCTTAATTGTTGATATTCTCCCAATCAATTATAATTGTAAGTTTCCCCATTTTGTCAAATCTGTCGCAATCTGCTGTTTGAGTTTGAGATAATTGTCCTCCTTCAGTGTGCTAAATCTTAATGTAATATATATCCCTAAATACTTAACCTTGTTTGTGACCTGTATTTCTAAAACTTCTTCCAACTCTTTCTTTTATCTTACTAGCATATTCTTTGTTAATGTCTTTGTTTTATCTTTGTTTATTTTCAAACCTGCTACTTTTCCATATTCTTCTATTTTTTCTATTAATTTAGGTGCTGTTTCCAATGGGTCTTCTAATATAAATACCAGGTCATCTGCAAAAGCTTGCAATTTATACTCTTCCTTTTGGATTTTCATTCCTTTTATTTCTTTATCTTCTCTAATATTCCTATTCAACACTTCCAATGTTAACACAAACAGCAGCGGCAACAGTGTTCTCAATTTACCATAACTTTTGCAGTTTGTTCATAATATATTGTTTCAATGGCTTGAATGAATTTTTTACCAAAGCCCATTTGTTCCAATTGCAATAACATAAATTGCCAACTCACATTGTCGAAGGCTTTTTGTGCGTCTAAAAACATCAAGGCCATTTGCTTTTCAGGATGTGTCTCATAGTATTCCAGAGCATCCAAAATAATTCTCACATTGTCTTTGATTTGTCTCTTTGGCAGCAATCCATTTTGATCAATATGGATAAAGTTATTTAAGTATCTTTTTAGTCTTTCTGCCAAGATTGAAGCAAAGATTTTATAGTCTGAATTTAATAGGGATATAGGTCTGTAATTTTTAACTTGCTGCAGGTCTGTATCCTCCTTCAGTATAAGTGTAATGTATGCTTCTGTCCATGTTTTGGGTATTTTTTTCTTTAACATAACTTTGTTCATAACTTCTAATAGGTGAAGATTCAGTATTTCCTGAAAGATCTTGTAAAATTCCAGTGGCAAGCCATCTGGACCTGGTGCTTTTCCAACATTCTGTTTTTTTAAAGCTTCTGTTAATTCCATCTGTTATATTCCCTTCTAGCATTGTTTCAATTTCTTTAGGTATCTGAGGTAAGTTCGCTTTCTGTAAATATTGCTTAACTTTTTCTTCTTAAATATTCTCTTGAAAATACAATTTCCCATAGTAATCTTGTATAATTTTTTTCTTCTCCTCATTTCCATAACATATATGTCCTTCTTCATTTATTAGTTGGCTAATCCTTCTTGATTCTCTCTCCTTTCTCAATTTATAGGCTAGCCATCTGCCTGGTTTATTTGTATCTTCAAAGTAATTCTGTTTAGTGTTTTTAATTTTTTCTGCTAGTTCCTCTTTTTCCATTAGTCCCATTTTTTGTTTAATTATATCCATTTTATTTTTAACGTCTTTTTTTTACGGGGACTTCTGTAAGTCTTTTTTCAGTTTTTTATAATCATCCTCTAATATTTTGAAAGTCTTTTTCTGTTTTATATTTCTTTTCCTTGTATAGTCTATCATCAAGCCTCTTGTGTAGGCCTTCATCGTGTCCCAGAGGTTCTGTAGAGATGTATCCTCTTTTCTATTTTCTTTAAAGAAGAAAGCAAGTTCTTTCTCTATTTTCTGTTTAAAGTCTTTTTCTTTTAATATCGTATTATTTAAGGTCCATCTGGGTCTCCTCTTGTATCTTCTCCAAGTAACTGTCACTGGGTTTTGATCTGCCCAAGTGCTTGTTTCTATTTTGATCGCTCGTATGTTAGCCAGTAGTTCTGCTGACATCCATATCATGTCTATTTTAGACCATGAAGCATGTCTGTTTGAGTAAAAGGTGTATTGCTTACTCTCCACGTTTCTCTCTCTCCAAGCATCTTTTAAGTTGAATTCTTCTGTTATTTGAAAGAAGGATTTTTGTAATATCTTTCTAGCTTTCTTTGTTGATTTCTGT